CATCTCCCATTTTCCTGTTTCTAAGAATTATTTTTAGTCCACCTTTTATGTAGGTTAATGTGGAGCAGAGAAAATAAATGACTACTCTTCTGCTTTCGATGTGTTTCCACTAATGGATGCCTTTTTTCTGCATTCTCCTTCATAATTCCAAGGAATTATTTATCCCTTTCCTCTCAATTACTAATTTAGCATCAAATATTTTTGGGGAGGAGAGAAAAAAGACAATATAATCCTGATAAGCAGAATTACAATTCTCCAAAACAGTCCATTCTCCCAAAAGGCTCGTATCCCCTGCAGTCTAGTAATGACATTGAAAATGCTTTTCATTATCTAAAATCTTGGTTATTCCTCCTCTAACACTTAGATGAACAGTGTTGTACTGCACAGTCCTTTTAATTGCATTCCATACCACTTATACCAGTGGCCTCCTTTGAGTTGTTTTGAGTAACCTTCCCTCCTTTTGCATCTCTATTCTTTTCCCTATTCTTAAATGTATCATATTTACACATTGTCTCATAGTATCAGAGGGGAACCCAATGATCAGTAAGTACAGTACCCCCTTCCCCTGTTTGACTTCAGTGAAAGTTTTGGGTGTAGCTCAATGGCAAAGTAAGTTGTTAGCTTCTTAAATGAGAGAATCAATAGTTTTTATCATAAGCTTAGCTTTTCACAAGAAGACAACTTTCTGGATATTGTTTGGGCTGTTGTTTTCTCTGTTGAAAAAGGTGTATCACTGAGAATGTAATCTCAGCCAATGTTTACAATGTTTATTTAACTCCTAAATCTGACATTTCTTGATTTAAATTAATAGGAAGCGCATCAACTGCAAGTCCAAATACATGTTTTCAGTTCTGAAGGATTTGTAACCAAGAGGGCTTTGTGTGAATATTTCTCAACGAATGATTTCTTTAGTAAATTTACACACACCCATACGCCCCTTTTTTTTCCTTGCAGAATATCAATAAGCCAGTTAAAATTTCATCCAATGTATTGATTATTTGAATTTCCTTGATGAGTATTTTTTTTAATGTTTACATTATGGTCTGATAATGTTCATTCAAAATTCAAGTAGTGTTATTTGTGACTTGTCGCATACTTCATATGGTACTATTGTGGCTATTTTCTGACTTCTTAAGGATGCATGTGCTCTGGGAATAGATACACTTATAATAAGTGGATTTAAAATTTGCTTGCTACAAACGTTCATACAACTTTAAGATTTCCCCAGACAAGCCCTATGTATCACCTGAGTCCCATTAAAGAAGCTATCATTTAAACCAGCAATCAAAGGGTAATTTTGGGATAGGTGCTATGCAGAGCTATTACAATACCGCATAACCATCACCGTAATGACTCTCAAATCTTGTATAGGTCTTGTGCTGGTTCTTTGCTCAGAGTTAAATTTACACTTTCTTAACATTTTATATAACAAAGCTCAGTCTTTTGAAAACAAAATGCAAAAGGGGTATGAGCGCTGTCAAAGTGAATTAATTATTTTAAACATTTTACTTAATGTTAATGTTTTTTTTTTGTCTTGTTCACCCAATACTAGCACTAAGTATAAAACAAAGGTATAAATAAATGTTCTTTGTTTATCTGATAATAACTGATTTTCCACCTTATGCTTTTATAACAATTCAAAATTCAATGTATTAGCCAAAATGAAAAGAGGCTGGAGGAAGGAAGTAAACCAGACTTTTCCCCCCACCTGTTAGCATCTATAAATACTTTGACATTTGCAGTTTCTATACTAGAGATGTGAGGGCAAACCAGCAATTTGAGTACTATCAAAGAAAAGCGATCTGCCAAATATATGAATATAGCAGTTATTTCTGGCATCTTTGTGGCTTAATACCTGACAGATGTTTCAGATTTAGGTCTTTAAATGCACTGTTATAGTTAAACATCCAACTTTGTATGCACATCGCTGTTCTTCCTGGGTTCTGAGTAACAACACCCCAAAACAACAAATTTTTGGCATTACCGAGGTGATGTATGGACGAAACCCAAAGCGCTGTCACTTTAGTCTTTTAATACCCCAACATACCCAGATATTTCTAATTTATATCAGCATGCAAGCAGTACCTTCAAAGGCATATATTTAAAGTGCACTGACAGGGAGATAGGACTGTTATCTGGAACTATAATTTTAGTTGGTATGCATGATAGGACAAATTGTGTGAAATGATGGGGTATTTTGGATGGCATTGAATAGATTCTATTACAGTTTTTTAGCTCTAAGCTTGCCTAAGTTCTTCTGACCATGCTAAAATATGTCATGCCTGGAGTTTATTCATATGACTTTTCCCCCTGATCTCTGCAAGAAAATCTAAATACATTACAAGAATTTTCAAAGTTCAATGTCTCCTAACTATAGAACATATTGTACTGTTTAAGGAATATGCCAGTAGAAATTCACATATTTAATATGCACAGTAATTTAAAAGTGCAAAATGTTCAGGAAAAAATAAATATAAATCTGAGACACTTAAAATCATACATATATTCATTGGTTGCCTAAATGTTGCATCAAAAGCAAAGATAAAATATAAGTAACTAAAATGCAAGTAAAATGGAAAGAATTTCTACAGAAAGATATAAAATATCACCCCTATTGAAAATGAAAGTTGATATTTAAATTCTTATTTAGAAAATAGAGTAAATAGCATTTTAAAAATATAAACAAATCAATTGCCAGACAGATCATTGCTACCAGAAAAATCATTCCTACATTACGTGTGTGTGGGTTTTTTTAAGACATCAGTGAGGCTGTTTCAATAATTTGTGATAAATGCATGTATATATTTGCTGTATATTCATTTCTTTTCTTTTTTTTTTAAATCTCCAGATTGACATGGCTCAGTAATATAATGTAGCATTACTTTTACTTTATAAAAATCATATATCATTATTGTCTTTTAATTTTAAAGCTGAAAATGTTTGTTCTTCATTTGAAAGCCCATGTACATCAGGGAATGTTGCTTCGAATTTGTACATGAGGGATTTAAAACTTTAAAATAACACTGCTTAATTCTTCAGCTACAATTAAAATATATGCTTTTTTTTCTCCAAGAAGGGTGCGTGTGCAAGTATGTGTACATAAATACACATCTCTTGTTTTAAATTTAGATGGCGACAGAGGTTACAAACTGGTTACTATTAGAGGAGCTATATGATCTTATTTAAAAGGGGTTTTTTTTTAATTATTCGTTATAGATTTTAACCTGGCTGGTTGGGGAGGAGATTTCTTTTCCAAACACCCTGGTATGTAAATACGCAGCTCCTTAAAATGAACTAATTTGAAAGTAAGCTTGCTGCAAAACAAAAATGAGTCATAATGATAAACAGTTTTTCTATTTCCTTCTTTGTCTTTTTTTTAAACCATCAAGTTTAAAGCATCCACAGTGCTTTTTTTCTACTTTACAGCAGACAACTGACGTTCTGTGGTAAATGGAAGAAAGAGCAGAGCAGAACTGAAAATCCTCTAATGCACTGACACTAACTTGCCCTCTATTGTTGAAAATGAGCAGGCAATCATGATTGTTCATCAAATGGCTCCTAATGCAGTTAAAGCATTCAGCTATAATTTCTCCTTGCATTTATAATTACTGTCATAGACTGCACACCTCAGTGAGCAGATTAAAGCTATAAACTATTTAGCCGTAGCTTTAAGATGAGGAACTTGATTTGTCTGGCAGCAGTTATTTGTTAGAGAGCTTGACACTTCACATAAAAATGACTCAACTTGATGAAGAACAATGCAGTTTAAGCAATGCAGTGATTTTAAATCAGTCATTATACCACGCCCTGTAAGAATTGCAAAGCAATTTGTTAAATGATATATAGGACACGAAGATAACTGTATGTGTTAAGTATACCAAAATAGAAGGATTTTTTTTCTTTTTGTGGATTTTATTTTCTCATCTCTCCCCTGAAACTGCAGGAGTTTCACTGAATGACACATTTGATTATTACAGCTAATGTCAGTGTTACATGGGACAAAGGAGTTGCCCGGGTCAGTTGTCCGAGTTTGGGGTTTAGAGAACATAGCCTTCTCTTTATCCTGCACACCTCAATAACAAATACCATGAAAGAGTAATAAGCAAATATGAGAATATTGGGGCACAGCTGTCCAAGTCACACCATCAGTGGGTAAGCAGAACTCACCATCAAAAATAATGGTGGGTCCCTATTAAAAAATCTTAACCTATTGATAGAGAAGACTCGACACAAATGAAGGACCTGGTTCTACTGCAAGTTTTAAACTGAGCAAACTTTCATTTACTTCAGTGCTGGGTAGGACCTTGTGTGAGGCCCTCTTTTAAAACCAATGCAAGTTTTGCTATGGCTTTGTGGGAGCGGGTCAGACACAAGGTTTATAAGATATCTTAATGCAGATTTATTTGACTGTTATGAACAAGAACAACGTTACTAATAAGGTCAGTTTTTATTACTTAATATTTCTATTTTCACTAGCACCTAGAGACTAACCCACTCAACCTCCATCATGCTAGATGCAGCACAGACATATCATCAGTGACAGTCCCTGGCCCAATCCTAAACAGACTGCTGATGTACATCTCAGTCTTTACCCCAACAATCAAATGTTTTATGTTCATCAAAGAAGAGACACCACTGAAATACTTGAGCCCTATCTTACTGATTTTGAATATGGCCTTGAGTATTCAGTGTCCATCCAGGTATCAAAATCTTGTTTTTTGTTTGCCCTGTCTGATATTAAACGTTACAGCCTACAATGATCTATAGCAGTATTATTTCATTGAAGAAAATTTT